GACGAAGTTACACAAGCTGATGGGTCGGTATTGAGAGAGCTTTTCTGGATTTGGAACCTTTGGAATAAGCACAAGATTTGTCTGGTTCAGTTCTTTTAAGAGAAACCTGTTCACAAAAAAAGATTGGACCGCATTGCAGACATCCTCCTCTACCACCTCCCAGTACCTTTGAAAAAAGATGCCAGAATACCCATCAGGCCCTGGAGCTTTCAAGGCTCCCAGATGGAAAGCTGTAGATTTAATCTCAGTTCGGGTCACAGGACGGGTGAGGGAGGTATTCATGTCCGCTGTAATAACACAATGCACCACCAACAGAACTGAGTCAAAGTTTCGGGGAGGTAAGCTCGAGAAGAGGCTAAAGAAATAGTCATGCAGATGGGACTTAATTTTAGGTTCAGAAGTAAGCCACCGGCCATCTTCCCGAAGCAATTTTATCATCTGATTTTGTTGGCGACGTTGAATAATTGACGCATGGAAAAATGCCGATTTTTGGTCCCCATATTGAAGCCACCGAACCCTCGATCTTTGATGTAGAAACATCTCTTCATGAAGCAACACATCGGCAATAGCTTGTTTTACTTGACGCTGGGCCTGCACATTATCCTCCGACCATTCTTGGGATTGGATATGTAAAAGATTATTCTTTAGGCCCTCAAGCTTAATGCGATTATCCCCAAATTCCCTCCGACTCCAAGATTTTAGAGCTAGTCTGCACCCTTTCAGCTTTTGAACCAACCTGAACATCGGTGAGCCTGAACCAGACTCCTCCCATTTGGTAGAAATTACATCGAAGCAGCTTGGAGAAGTAGTCCACATAGATTCGAACTTAAATAACCAGGCAACTTTTTTTAGAGGACGACATAAATTGAGAATGAGAGGGTAGTGATCCGAACTGAGGATGACCTCATGGAAAACCTGGGCACAAGGAAAACACTCTCTACACTTGACCGTGGCAATGGCACGGTCCAGTCTCTCCCTCACATTGTGTTGGCCTGCTTGATTGTTTGACCATGTGAATCCATACCCTTTAAATCCTAGGTCCATTAGAGCACAGTCCTGGAGCACTTGCTGAAATCCCAAAATCCGTTGGATGTTCGGACTTGACCCTTCCACTTTTTCCCAATAGGCTCCGACCTCATTAAAATCCCCAATACAAAGCCATGGAAGATGATTAACCTTGGCTATATTCCTAATCAAATCCCAGAACTCACGGCGGATATGTTCCCTAAGAGGAGCATAAAGGAAAGTTGCCAACCAGGTATGGCCATTGGCAGAAATAAGACACTTCAGCAAGTTACTATTTTTTGATCTGACATCCACATCCACATCCACCTCTTGTGTCCACCATAACGCTAATCCACCCGCAAGTCCATTTGGTTCAACATAGCAACTGTTGTGAAAACGGAGACTACGACGAATTCGTTCCAACCGGGAACATTTATTCTTTGTTTCCATCAAGAACACCAAGCTTGGACGATGGGTCGTACACAACCCTCTAAGGATCTGGATTGTTAGAGGTCGCCCAAGCCCCTGACAATTCCAGCTGATAATCAGCATGGGGCGTGTGACTGATATGGGCCAGCTACCAAAGCCCTTTCAGAATTTGCCTGGGATGGCGGTTCTGGATATGTGCTTGGGACTTGTGAGCATGTCACGAATTCATCCAGAACCAGAGTTGGTATAGGTTTGTTCAAAGAAGATTGGAGGGTGAGAAGTGAGTCCAGGTGTTTATCATTATTCACTATGACCTCAACCAAAGCAAGAGAGGGGGAAACAGGTAATGCATGCTGTTGAGGCCGTGCCCCCCGTTTGGTCGTTGTTTTCCTGGGTGCCTTCCTAGGTGGAATTTGACTGCTTGGGTTTAGACAGAGAGAGTGTGAAGCCACTCTAAATTCAGGTGTGGGTTTAAGTAGCTTTGGGTTGGGTAGCTGGAGATGGTCTAGGTCTTGGGCTTTCCTTTTCAAGGATAATGTATTGAAAGCTTTGGACAAAACCAAATCAGGAATAATAGGGCCCAAAGGGAGAGAGGTGGAAGTAGGTTGTGGGCTAGGAGGTGGGCTTTGGTCTGAGTCAGGGGAGGGTGGGATGGATAGAAGAGAAGGTGGGTTTTTGGGGAAGATGGGCTTTCTGAAGGTTCAGTGACAAAGTAGGCTGGCCCAGCATGAAGTGGAGGTTGTATAGGATGTAATGGCAGATTGGTAGAGACCCCAGGTGAGATCAGGTCCTGACGCCAGCAAGAGCTATGGCGGTGGGATTTGTGGATAGCAAGATGATTTGCCACAGACGTATGGGTGCTTGGTGGAAGGGGAATATGGACTGGGGGTTGGACACGTGGAATGTCAGGGTCATGGAGTAGTGGGTTGGATTCAGCCGTAGCAACAGAGCACAGAGGTTGCCCCCTTACCTTGTCCACTGTCGTACAGTTTGGAATGACTGCCGTAGGCATACTCGCCTTGATTTCACGCGCCGCTGGGTTGTTCATAGAGCTTACCGTCGGTGTGGCATTGCGAGAACCCGACGAAGAAAGTCTAGCTTTCATTGTATCAATTTGTTTCTGGTGAAACTCTACTGATAACCCCAGGTTTGGAGCCACCCCTGTCCTCAGCTCAGAACCATAACCAAATTGGCTTCCCATACTACGGTCGACAAATTTGCAAGAGTGCTGATCATGCCCAATCCTTCCATAATCGTAATAAAAATTGGATAATCGTTCAAATTTAAAATTTACCGACTTCTCCACTAACTCTTGGGTTGTAGGATCTTTTCTCTTCAGCATGAAGCCTCTGGGGAGGGGTTTAGAGACATTGATCTCGACCCAAATACGAAGAAAGCTTCGGTATAACAGTAGGCCATCATGGGGAGCTTCAACTCCAATCAAGGTTCCAATCGATTCAGCGATAATCTGACCGTTGCGGCGGGTCATTTTTTCCACGGGAAGGCCATGCACTTGAACCCAAAAAGGGCTCGTGGAAAAATCCATCTCTGAGGCCGCTTGCCCCATTACCAATGGTTTCAACACCAATTTTTTGATCGGCAAAAAAAATCTTTATTGATAAAAGTATAAAATTTTTTTTTTTTTCCTTAATTGATTCAACAACCAACGACTGTTCAAAATTTGATACATAAAAAAATACAAAAACCACTTGGACACCTCTTGGCGATATGTTTGTTTGACCCAAGTTCGAGGGCAATCCATGAAAAATAGGATAACTTTAAGGATAAATTACACTGACACCTAAAATCACACTGTTATTCCCTTTATTCTATGAAATATCAGTTATATTCCCTGTCAGTTGAATCATTAAAAAAATCAAGTAAAGTTACTATAATGCCCATATTGAATTATTTAAAATTAACAAATAAAATACTTCTATTCTTCGACCTCTCTCGTTGTAATGAAAAGACTTCCCGTTCAATCAACCCCAATCTATTGATGCATGTCCAAGAACAATTCTATAATGTCTCAACACCACACCATTGGCAACAGGCTTACCAAAGTAAAATAAGAAAATTTAACAAGATTGTGTTCTACCAACGTAATATGACAAGATTGGCCTTCATCAGTATGCATTATAAAGAAATGAAACTTGGGTAAATTTATTTATTTATTTTTCATTAAAAACTTGGATCATATCTATTACCCAAAACGATAAGCATGCAATAAAACTCCAACAATAGTGTATATTCTAAATTTTTTTCTAAAAAAAATCTAAAATTTAAAATGTTAATAAAATTAAGTATAAATCTATGAAAAAAATCTAAAATTTAAAATGTGGATTAAAATTAAGTTTAAATGTATGGAAAAATATATGATGGGCGTTCTTATAATAAGGCATATCATAAGAAAGTTATAATTTTTTGTGGTTAAACTATTGAATGTTTATGTCCTATGTAAATTTGTGGCAAAAATTACGAATGGGGGATTTAAAAAAATGCTCCATGTTATTGATTTTTTGTCACTATTTTACATCATCTCTTACATAAATACTCATGATTGGTTTTTTTATTTTGAGTTAATTATTAAATATTAATGAAAGTATATAATATTTTGTCATGTATTTTGGTGATATAAAAATATGAAGAAATAAAAAAGTGATATATAGTAGTGTTCGTGAATTTATTTATTTATTTATTTATTTATTTATTTTTTTGATCGCCAGTGTTCGTGAATTTATGATGTGCAACATAATGTGAAAGTTTTTTTTTTTTTTTTTTTTTTGTAATAAGAATAGTTGTGTCAACTTATTAATTTATATTTCAAATTTTCTTACGATGTTGTTATAAAATGCATACCATATATAATATTTTAAGGTGCTCATATTAGCATTTCTCTAAATTTGCACCATACATTAAAATTCTGATTACATATAGCATGCCTAATAAAACTCTTGCTATTAAATAAAAGAGAAATTATAAATTAGTGTAAAAGATTAAAAATAAATATAAACATATAGAGATGCACCTATTTTTGTGCACAAAAAATCAAAAAAGTTACACCCCTATCTTTTGATAAAAAATTTCTCAACGTCTTCACTATCTTATAATTTCTTCTTAAATAAATGATTCCGTCAATACTTAGCCCATGCAATATTGGATTTCATACTCATGCTTCTTTTGCCTACTAATTGCTGTAGGCTATCTCTAAGGATAATTCTAAAGGCTTATCATATCGTCCTTAAGGAAGAAGAAATAAATTTAGGGTAAATTAGGCATTTAAAAGATTTGTTTTTCTCACGTCATGAACTTTTGTTAACTCAATTGACGTTTGATCAACAAAAGGGGTAGACTGTTACATAATTTTCTAAAGCAAAGGAGTACAGTGACATTTCAGATAATAAAAGGGATGACAGTGTGACTTCAGAGAAATAGAAGGTGTGTCAGTGTTATTTACGCTAACTTTAAGTTTTGTTCAAAAATATTGTATGGTTCTTATCAACGTAAGAAAGATATAGTGCTTAACTGAGCAATGTATGAAATTAATTTTCAAACTATTTTCATAGATTTCCTCGGGCTATGGTCAAGTAAAATTCAACGCTCCGTCAAGTGGCACAATTTGGCATTTTATTGAGATTTATGGTATCAATTTGCAGATATTGAGTAATGGTCTCTATAATAGTATCGAGCACAGAGCAACGGTGAATTCAGTAAATGAAAGAATGTCAATTGCAATGTTTTTCAACCCCAAGTTTGAAGTGGAGGTCGGACCTGCAACTAGCCTTCTAAACCCACAAAACCCTCCATTATTCAAAAGGGTTAGTATGGAAAAGTACTACAAATATTTCTTCTCTCACAAGCTCAATGGAAAGTCATTCTTAGAGCAAATGAAGATTGGAAATGAAGAAGATGACACTGCTTGATGGCAATCACTCTCGTACTCTTAAAATTAAATTAAGAAAAATATAATATTGGTGTTTGTACTATGTAATGTATTAAGGTTTGGAACACAACCTCTAAATAACATGTCATGTATGAGACAACGAGATACAAAACCTCCCTTTATGTGTAAGATAACCCAAAATATACCTAGCTCACTCATCGAAGCTAGTTGTTTGATCTCTTTTTATGTATAACTAATGTATAAAAAAATAATATTTTTTTTGTGGTTTGTATGTTGACTATTATAGTAGTTTCAAATTTTTGTATGGTTAATTACGCCAAAACCTCTTAAACTATTAATGATTATCAGTTTATTTCTTTATTTATGACAAAACTATTAGAGATCTCAAAAATTCTACCAAATGTTTTATCAAATGTCTCATATGGGTGTATGACCCACTTCCACTCTCCATGTGAGACATTTGGTAAAACTTTTGATAGAATTTTTAGGATTTCTAGCATTACTCTATTTATGAACCCATATACACATATTGATACCCTCAACTATAATAACTAATTACTCCTCTAGAAGGGGGCTTTACTTGTTTATTTTTTTATAGTTGAGTGGGTTGAAATATATAGATTCGTAGATGAAAGGTAAGGTAATAAACTGCTATTCACTGATAGTAGTAGGGTATAAGCGCAACTGGCCTCCCAAGAGGATAAGCGCAATCGACTTATAATTTTCGTATCTTATTATCCCACAAAATCGTTAAAATCTGGTCAAATAACATTTAATCAATGCAAACTTAGATCCACCATATGACCTGTATAGTTCTTTAATCATTTTCGCACATAAGTTAAGTGTTCAAAGAAAAAACAATAAAAACTTGTGGCCTTCACTTGGTTTTAAAGACCAAGAACCATAAAATGACTCCCTAAAAGCAACTAATCAATCATTACTAGAGAACTCGATTTGGGGACTTAAGTACAAGATCTGAAAGTTTTGTGCACCCATCTAGTCCAACACAAGGTTGAACTCTACTAATTATCATGACAATTTTAAATCTAAAATTGGTAAGACTTATGCATGACATGCGTTAATAAATAAAAGAATTAAACAACAATAATGTGGGATATATAACAAATATGGTTTAGACTCGTCCCATTTGATATTCTGGATTCAAGTTTCTTGGTTTTGTATTGTTGGTCTGGTCTTATTCCTCTTTTCCCTCCTTGAGTTTGCCTATTGGGATGTTGATTGTGTTTGAAACGGCTTGGTAGCTTGTTTTTCAAAACTTTGGCTGCCCAGATTTTGACCTCTACGCTCAAGCAGTCTTTGCAAGCTCTTAGTACTTTTGCAGGTTTGCAAAACTACTGGTGGAGTGAATTATACACTCGAGTGGTGCTTCTTGCGCTCGAGCAATCTTGGCTCGAGCGGCCCTTCTTGCGCTCGAGCGTTAGTCAGCTGTTTGCAAAACTACTGGAGTATGTATTCTGTGCTTGAGCGAAACTTCTTGCGCTCGAGCGCAACAACTTATTGTGTCTGGCTGCTCGAGTAACACATCTTGCGCTTAAGCGGACTGTGCGTATATTAGTTCATAAAAGTCACTTTTTACACCACTTTTTCGTCTCTCTCTCTAAACATTTTAAAACCCTAAATCTAGAGTTTCTCTCTCTAGAACTTACTCTCTCTATATAAATACACCAAGATCTACCCATTTCTCCACCCTACTCCATTTGTTAAAAAGGTAGAGCTCACCTAGAGTTTCGTTTTCATCCGAATAGAGTTGGATTTTGGTTTCCTTGAGATTTCTCTACTCTCTCCTTGGTGTTCCAACTTCGAGGTAGGGATTTTCTATACTCGTTTTGATTTTTAATTTAGCAATTTATTTTTCAGAAATAATTTTGTGGTTTTGGAGGATTTTGAACAAACCTAGGATTTTGGTTTAAAATCAAAAGAGAGGTTTTCAAATGGATGTATGGAATATGGTTGTGGGAGTGGAAATGAGGTTGAGTTGTGATAAAATTATTGATTTTGACACTTAGATTGGATTTTGGAAGAAAAATGAGTTTTGCCTTAAATGTTTTAAATATATTTTTTTGTATAAATAAATGAAATTAATGTTGGAAATGTGAAATTGGATAGACATTGATATGGATGGTGGAGTTAGATATGTATTATCACTCATCTTGAAATTTAGAAAGTTTATCTATATTGGAGGTTTTATATCTGTATAGAAATATTTGTTTTGGGCTATCGGTGGGGGATAGCTATGGTTGTTATAAAAATTACATGAGAATTAGGTGAATTGAAGCTAATTTCTCATTTACGTGCATTGAACATTGTTGCTCATTTAAAACATAACATATGCATATGAATTTGAGAAAAATGAGTGAATGTTGGAAAGAGGTGTGTATCACCAAATTAAGTTGGCCTATGTGTCCAATGTGAAAGTCTTGAAAAACGCACGTATACATGGGTGCCGATTCCCGCGGACGAAATATTTGTAAAATGGCAATATTAGTGCTTGTATAGATACGTTTACATAGGTGTCGTTTGACGGTTTTCCGCGGATGACATATTCGTGAAAGGTTGTACTGGTTTAAGATTTTCCCCTTATTTCCTATTATAAAGAGCACGACTTGAAAATTGTGAACTCAACTAAGCATGGCATTATTTTTGGAAAGAAAATGTAAAACGTTTTGATAAGGGCATCACATGTACATAAAACCTTATATCTTTATTAAGATTCATATATTGTGTTAGATTATCTCTACTGGGTTTTGGCTCACTCTATATAGGAAAGCCATTTTCAGGTGTTAGAGAGATGCCTCCGCCAAGGCAGTAGCTTGGGAGGATTGGAACAAGAGTTTCATTTTGTTTACTTGTTGTTAGCATTTTGTACAAACCTAGGGCTTTACTTGTACTAGATTTAAATCTATTTTGATGTAATCAAGTACAGTCTTGGAATGTTGTAGCCTTCAGGGCATTTTTATTGTTTGTTTAACTTCTATCTCATATCTTTGTTGTTGGCAAATGCTATAGATTCAGGGTTAGGACTTATGAATGTATATTCGCATGTGTCTCATCTTTTGTATAACTGCGTCTCATATAATGGAAGGATATTATACTCTGATTTATATTGTCATTTAATTGTCGTTATGGATGGTTTACTGTATTAAATTTTGGCGAGTTACAACTTGGTATCAGAGTGTACCGGGTTTGAATACTTTGGGTACGTTGGAAGTGGTTATTATCACAATGGGTTTGTCTCGCTTAACAGAGATGTTTGTATGTATGGTATGCTTATGTGATAACATGCTCATGTGATTATATGTGTATGATATTTTATTTCTAGGATATTGATTGGGTCTACGGGTTTCTAGAAGTCCTATTAGAAGAGCATTTGATCACTGCTTTTTCTAATTGAAACTCTGACAACGCTGCGCGACGGTTATTATTTTGGAAGGAAATTCATATGTGTCTATGTGACTATGCGCTTATGTGGAGTGAATTACTGTTGTCCACCTCATTAAGATGCGAGTGAGTGAGCTTTGGCATATTTGTAAATGTGCTAATCTCTTTTGTTACCTTTATTAGGATGTCAGGACGTGGTCATGGTGGTAGGCGTGGTAGACCTAGATGGTAGGAGGTGCCGATACTGGATGATATTCCGGCACAAGAGGTGGGAGTTGGTCAGGCCAATGTGGCTGAATGAACAGGTTAGCGGACCATGTGTGCCTTAGCCCACGAAATGGTCGGAGCATTGTGGGAACCTATGGACATTCTCAGGCTGAGAATCAAGTCCAGGACCAAACAGTTGAGGCAAGGCCGTCATTCTTGAAGAGAGAGCTCTTCCAGTCCAGGGCGGATGAGTTTTTGGTCGATCCCAAAGAGCCTTTGAAAGCGGATGAATGGCTTGAACAAATGGTTAAGACGTTTGAGATGCTTGGCATCTACGATGGTGGTTTGCGAGTGACCTTAGCGTCCTTTCAGTTGAAAGGAGATGCTGGTCAATGGTGAAAGTATGCACGTGGGCGCATTGGGATAACTTGAGAGGCCTTCATTGATGCTTTCCAGGATAAGTTTTTGCCTCCCACTATTAGGGAGAAGTTGAGTGACCAGTTTTCTCAGCTCAAGCAGTTGAGCACACCAGTGGACGAGTTTGAGGCCGTATTTACTAGTCTGTTGAGGTTTGCACCGAAACTCATGGCGACTGAGGAGCGCTGTGAAGCCTCTGAAAAATGTTTTTTCTTTAAAAACCTAATGTTTAAATTATTTTCTTAAAGCCTTTAGTTACTTGAATTATTTCGAATCTTGTCGGTTAGCATTTATTTATCAAAATCGGAATATCCTAGCTGGATTAGGTTCCTTAGCCTAATTTAATTAAATTCTACATAAGTAAGGTTCCAATACATGAATTTAACTTCAAGCCCTCACTTCTTTATTTAAATTCAAAATTTCCCCAAAACTAGTACATGTACCTTATACTATAAGTATCATTAATTAATTGAGATATATATAAATATATACATTGAGGAATGTGCTCCTAGTACCTAGATTGATTAAAAAAAAACTATTCAATTGGGGGATTTGGTCATAGCCCCCTCACTATCTAATTTCTCTTTCAAAAGGACAAGAATTATATAAGTACTTTCAAAACCCCCTGATATTTTAAAATTTGTTTCTTTTACTATATTACCATCATATCTATCAGCTCTCCTATTAAGACATTTTCACTATGTATTTCAGAGTAAAATTTTACTCTGTATGAAAGTAAAATTTTACTATGAATGAGAGTAAAATTTTACACTCTGAAACTAAAAGTAAAATTTTACCCTGTATAAAAGTAAAATTTTACTCTGGTTCTGTCAAATGAAAAAAACAGAGCAATAGAACCAGAGTAAAATTTTACTCTGGTTCTATCAAATGAAATTTGATGTTTACTTTGAAAAATCGATGGAACTTTGAGCTTTAAGCTTTGAATCAGGCCTATAATCCTTGAATCAATCGATGTTTACTTTGAAAAACATTAAATCATACCTATAATCCTTGAATCAGGCCTATATTCTGAAAATTTTAGAGAGATCTCAATTTTTCATACCCCGGTTCTTCAGATTTTTCAGATTTTACAGATTTTTCAGATTTTTAAAACTTTGAGCTTTCAAAAATCTATATATTCGAATTCAAATCTTAAAACACACAAACACACACATATATATAGATATATATATATATATCTTCCCAAGGTTAAGCTCCCTAATCACTCCTAATTCATTGAACTT